CACCTGAAAATGTCCTAGACTGTTTTTAAATCAGACTCTCTTAGACCCCAAATGGGTAAGCAACAATGCCCCCGCCTGGGTTTCTCTATGGAATCACTGTGACCTTTGACTTAAACTCCTCCAAATTCTGCAACCCTACACTACACCTGGAACATCACCATAGAAACCTTTAAAACCCTACTGTGTATACGAGCCTAATACGAATCTACTATATCTGCCCCACTTCAAAACCCTCCGACTACTCTAGCTCCTGAACCCTATGGCATTAGAAAACCTAACAGATAAAGGAATCTCCATTCAAGATCGGGGCCTCAAACCCAAAACCCTAAACCCCTAAACCCTAAACCCTAAGAATGAGACTAGAGTTTCTATAGTAAGGGCAGTATACCGGCCTGCACAACCAGATCTTGGTTCCCAGGTATGTTATGCTATAGCCAAACAAGGGAACCCGAAGAAAGACCGTTACTACTTAATGTAGAGGCCTTATTAATTAATTAGAATAGGGCTTCGGGGCATATTATGCCGTGTTTATATTAAGGAACCCCCCACTCTAGTAAAGGTAATTATTTAGGCCCCAATGTTATTCAAGCCACCATACTATCTTCAGCATGCCCAGAATCGGGCGCATCCCACTCACTCCCAGCCGAGGGACTTGAGCAGCGGCACAGCGTGGCGCACCACGCGCGTGGTGCCGAGTATGTTGATGTCCTGCAAACGACTTGGATTTTAGGGCTTAGGGCTTCTGGAAGGGGTTCGACAACGTTTCCTAAAGCTTCTGCAGGAGCTAGGCAATTTAGTAAGCAGGGTTATAATTAGGATGCTTACGCATCATAACCCCGATTAGTGTTATGACCCTGGTGTCTAAGTCGAGCGCAAGAGCGGTGTGGGGGCTTTACAGGGCTTTTACACTTATTGTACCACGGTTTCTACGGTGTTCTGTGGTCTTTACAAGGGTCTTAAGCTTTAGGGAGCTTTATCCTCCTACTCCTACTCCTACTCCGACT